TTTCAGTACGAAGGCACACATTTTTTTTCTCTCACATTTATAGATTAACATCATGTTATTTTATTATCACTCTAGTTAACTTTTATTACATTGTTATTTTATTTAATTACCATAGCATGCACATTGTAAAAAGTCGATTGGCGTTCATTTAAATAAAATTTTAAAAAAAGTTAAGAAATCTAGATATTTTACCAGTGTCATAATTCTGAATTTGATTTTCTAAAAGTTGTATTTTGTCTCGAACATTTTTTCTGCGTGGACTTTCTATATTATTAGAGCTTCTTACAATAACTATAATATCAGCTTGAACACAATACACTATAAAGTATACCTAGAAATTGTAGATAATTGGATATGGTCAATAAAATCGCTGAGCAATGGCTAACGATTGAATAATTATGAATTTAATCCAGCACTGTGTCGTGTGTCACACACCGTGTATGTTGCACATATGTAGGTAACATGAATGTCATATACTCACATAGTCACATACAGTTTCAACTTGTTATTAAGAGCCAATTCAATACTCGAAACGTGCATTTACTTAAGTCAATTTAACGGTCGCCTATTTTCATAAGAATTTCCTTCTAACAATTCTTTTTAAGCCAGGTAAACAGTATGAGGTATAATATTTTTTTTAGTTTTACATACACACTTGTAATTATGATCTAACATCTATCTTCTTTCTACGATTTTATCATCGGTGCTTATCTTAAGCAAACCTACATGTTTTTGTTGCAGTGGCTTATTTACGGGGGGAGGGGGGATATGGGGGTTATACCCCCCCCCCTGGAGCCCTACCAGTACACAAAAGTAAAACAGTCATAACTGATGAAGTACTCATTATTCTTTTACTGTCCTCAAGAATATTAAACTTTGTTTTGTAGTTAAGAATCCAAAATTTTATTTACATGCAGCATGTATACAATAATATGAATAGGTATATGTTTATATTAAATAGGTATGGCTGTTAAAATCTGTATATCCCCTCCCCCCGTGGAAAAATCCTAGATACGCTACTGTTTTGATGTACAGTTCCATCGTTGGATATAATTTACTAAAATGTTTAATACTTAGCTCAGGAGGCAGCTAGTACTTTTTGACTTAATATGTCATCATCACACATAAGGGGCACCGGAGGCGATTAGGATAATATTTGGAGGCAACCTAGCATATAATTTTGACGACTACTTGGAGATGGGAGAAAATATTTTGTACCGATCAAGGCATTTGATATAATCATAGTAAGTGGTTTGTAAGAATAAAAAAGTTGTATTATCTATAATGTGAACAATTAAAATTTAAAAAAACATAATATTAGGGCTGAAGAGCATAATTTGTTTTCACTCGTCAGTAATAAGTTAATAAAAACAGAAGACGTATTAGTGCGAGATGGACAATATTGAATTGGGTAATGTTTTTTTAGGAAATCTCACACCATTACAAGGCTTTCGAAATTTCATAGACCAGTTTTTTTTTCTGTGAAATAATGGTTTTAAATTGAAAAATGAATAATAAATAATAAAACTTCATTATATTAAATAATCAAAATTAGTTTTTAATATTCATGTTAAAAACATAATTATTTAGGATAGTTTTAAAAAGTTTCTTGGTCCAATATTATAGGCATAAAGCCATTTTTAATATATATATACTTTTTGCGGCGTAGTTGGCGTTTAAAATACTGGCGAGGAACAGGTAGACTTGTATTAAGACTTTTTACTTGTAAATTGTACTTAGCTTCGTTATACGAAAAATTAGAGAAGAACCCTTTTGACGTTTTTATTTCAGTATTTATGTTCACTTTTGCAACACAAATGTTATAATTATAAAATGTAACCAAAAAAAGTATTAAAAATAAAATTATTATTTACCGCCGGTATTTATGTACTGTCCAAAAAAATGATTTTGGAAAACGCCAATGAAACTGCGAATTTCTTTCACAACGTCTTACCATCCTGTATAGAAGTAAGAACAATATTTTCAAACCATTGTACGTGTCACAGCCTATTATAATGGATTACGCACGTGATTTTTAACTAATATCGTATCACGTAGGAGTAAATCATGGTGGAAAAAATAATACACTTGGCGTTTTCTTCGGGGTATCCGATTTCTATACACTGTGTTGTTTTCGACCCATATTATTATGACACTATGCGTACACAGTTTATGTATCTACCTATACACGCATACAGTGGGGATTTTTGCCGTGTGTACGGTACATATACATACCCAGCATATCCTATAACGTAACACAGCAACGCATCGAAAATTGTCCGGTTCCAATGCACCGTGTCCGCTTGTCAACCGGTTTTCACAGCGATTGTCTGCAACCATGTGCGACGTGATTGAATTGCAACCGTATCCGCCTAGTGGTGGTAATCCGCGAAGATAACATTAATATTATCATGTGCGTTGAGCTTAATCGGTATGGATTTCATCAGAATGTCGTACACTGCCATCTGCGAATGCGTTCAAGGGCATTAAATGTAACTACATGAAGTACAATAACATAACCCGGTGAAATCGAACCATACTCGTTTAATAGATCTATATTTGGAGAGGCTGGTGGTGATGAATTGAAACGACGTACATACTTATTGACAACAAAGTTTATTAAGTACCCAGTTTTGTGGAACGGCACTAGATAGTCAGTCAAATATTTCATTTCAGTGACATTATCTAATCACAGGTATTACTGTTCACTGGGATTCTAGGGGAGCCCTTTTTCACAACTTTGGTTACGACACTAAGGCAGTTTTGTAAAAGACCAACAGACATTCTAGAATCTAGCCTAAAATAACAATTTTTGTTTCGTGTACTACGACACTCGTGAAATAATGTGCGAATGATATGTGAAATAATAATTACCAAAAATAGGTATTACAAAAGTTTGCGTAATAATTGTTTTCCATAAAAATATCGAGTTAAATAAAATATATTTAATTTATAACTTGCAGAAAAGTTACAGAAAGGACGATTTTAATAAAATCAAACTCATATTGCTTATTAGTTATTACTTACTAAAGTGTTTGCACCATTATGTTAATTAATAATTTGTATTCTTTGTTTTATAACGGTTAGTTAGTTAGTATTAGTTGTATTTGTTGAATTTTGATTTTCATCATCAAAAGAGTGTCAGTGGTCACCTTGAAGTAGCCTGATTTCTATTTCTCCGAAGCCTTGACTATCATATGGATTCTATAGACTAAAGGAACTTCGGAATATTAATTATTACAAATAATACGTCGATCAAGGATTTTTAGTTTTAGGTGAATACAAATTGAAAACATATATTAGTAAGTATACTTTAAAATATATGAAATAGTTAATCAATACATCTATCTACTTTATGTTTGGTCATTTTTAAAGTTAAAGTATTTAATTTCTCGTTTCTAAGTATATACTATTTTTTTAGGACCTAATAATTATTCATTTACGTCAACGATGAATACGTACGTTCATTGCTTTTTAGTCGGATTTACTATATAACTCCTTTTTATGTTGTGTGTTCAAAAGGACGAAGATATTTACTATTTAGGCTCTTCCTGTGTATTTGTTTTAATAGATTGGATATTCCCCCATTTTAAAACATAGGTGCACTTTAGTTTTCGCTTTCAATATTCATTAAAAATACCCCTAGTGAAATTCAGTAAAAACTTGTAAAAAGGCTTGTATCCTTTCGGCTCTTCCCAAAGAGAAGTGATTTTTTTTCTTTTGTCAGTAAAATATATTATTGATTTTTTTTTCAATAAGCTGTTTTGTAAAAATATAATATACAAGAAATTCAATTCAATGCTTTCTCCCCCCCCCCACCTCTAGTGTCGTGGATTTTTTTCTGGTAGTGTAGATACGTGACAGAGATCAATTTTAATCAAACTGAATTTGACAATTATTTAACTATTATTGACTTTGATGAAAATATCCAACCTAATAGAGATTGAAATAATTAAATTTTCTAAGTCGTGGTCCTCGAAACACACGGTAACCATTTTTTAAATATACCTGCACCACAAAATTAAAAAAATAATAATTTAAATAGTCAACTATGATAAATGTTAATAGAAATAGTTGAAAACAAGGCTGCCGTTTTAAAAAATATTTATAAACTATGAGTATCACTTTAAAAATGTGTTAGTGGAAGTTTTGCCGGACATCTTTTTGAAAAACCGTGCGTGTAAGGTAAATTACACACACATTTGTTCAAATATGTACTTACCCAAAAGTAAGTGGTAATTGTAGATTTTTGGGGTAAATTTTAAGATCATAGGATTAAAATTATACAATACCTCCACGATATTTTTATTTATAATGTACTATGTACACTCTATACAATTCTAGCGTTGCGAGACTAAGTAAATGTAAAATTTGATTTCCAAGATTAAAAGCTGTAATTTGTTAATATTATTATTATAGTATTGCTATTTGCTAATATATTAATTATTTAAATTAGTTATATCATGTTATTAGTACTGTATATGGGTTAGAATTCGTGTTGTCAATGAGTAAAAATAATAGACTCCCATACAAAGAAAAAGCCAAAACGTGTAACTGTGTAAGTGCAATTTTCAAAAAGACTTCACAATACCCATTTACAATTACCGCACCGGATCCTAATTTGTATTTTTTTAACAAATACACATACCTACCTACCGCGAATCACGATGTTTATATAATTACCTACATCAGTGATTTATGCGCTTTTACAATATTAGGAAAATTAAAACACTGTGTTTAGGACGTGCGTCGGTGAGCAAACGAATCAATCATAATTTATAATGATCATTATTCATTTAATAAATGCTTAAGTATTAAATAATCGCTGTGTGGCACATTACCTATTCGCTGTTGTCACATAGGTAGCGCCTTGAATGATGTAGCCGCGCCGATCTCGTGTGAAATCATCCGTCGACGCGTCGCCGCTGTGTATCCCTACCCTAGCCCTTAGCCGCGTAGCTGCCGGTTTGCCAAAACAATAATAAACACTAGTTCACAACGTGCGCCCGTGTCGATCGTATCACCCCACGCCGTTTCGGAACATCAATACAATATTGATTATACATATCCCCATAATATCATATTACAACTAAATTAAACTGTTAAAAAAACAGTTTACGAGTTTTTAAGTTAACCATTTTTAAATAATATATCGAGTGTGCCGACTTTTATGGTTGACATTTATTAATTTTTTATACGCTCAATCTAATTATTTTTTTATGTTGACATTGAATACCGTTTTTAGTCTATGTTAACAGAAACGAGTTTTGGACTGTAATACAGGTAAATAATATAGCATCTATAAATAATCTAAACATATATATATATAATTAATAATTATTACGAATTAATTGGTTTTGTAATAAAATATTATACCTACTTGAATTCAGGTATTTTCGGTTTATCCGACTATTTTCAGATACTGTGTTGAGTGATTATTATAACAAATGTGCATTTGATATCCCTACAGCTGTGAACTTTTCTTACCCTACTATACGATTGACTGTTGGTGGTTTTTTTTGTATGGTATACATTTGTATTCATTCATCGTCAACGCCGTTGATTCAACTGAGAGATTAAACAGTTTTATTATCTGAAAAACTTTAATACTCCATGATGCCCGTATGTTCTTCTCAAATGTTACAAAAGCAGAATTCATTTATAACCATTTAGTACGACGGCATCATGAGGAAACAAAAAAAGTGCTCATGTAAACCATTTATAAATCACTCAATAGAAAAATAGGATTTTTAGAAAAAATGTATAGTTTATTTATAACAGCGTAGCCCACTAATAAAAAATTATAAAAATCAATGTATAATTACTTATATTATTTTGCTTTATAAAATATTTTAAAGAAATATTTCTATTTATAATACGAGATAAACTAACAAATTAAAATATAACAAAACAAATAATATGATACAAGAAGTTAAACAATAAGAAAATAAATAAAACAGTTTTAAATAATTGAGTACACAATGAACAATTTTATTTTAAAAAAAAAATTCCTGAAACTTTTGTTGCGTTATATATATTTTTAATTACATTATCTGTATGTTTTATTCAACAAGATCATAATACAATACAAAATATTAGCTAACATTCGCCGTTATATTATTTCCCGTTTATTATTGACATTATCTTGTATTAACAGTTTCGTATCAACAATTTCCCAGTTTATAATAGAAACAAATCAATATTTGCAAGAAACCCGAAGAAACGTTAATTATTTTCTAAACAAGTTAAGAGGTTTTCAAAACATTATTTTCAAATGTTGCAGTTAACTCTAGAACTTATCAGTGGCGTAACAACTGAAAAAACTTAAATAATTGCATCTATAAAATTTATCCAAAGCCCACAGTTATGTCATTTGTTTTTTTATCAAACAACAAAACATATTTTTTTAATTCAATAATTATTTATTATGACGATCAACTAATGTTGATAATCGATTAAGTAGTTCACGGAGAGGATGTGCAAAAAGACAAGCCATAACATAAGTACTAAATAAAGATGATAAAATAAGATTTTTCAAAAACCCTTCAAGTTATATTATACCTAACTAATTTCTTAAAGGTAACAAAAGTCGCGATTCAATGAGGGGCCAAAAAATAGCAATCTACATGCTTATTTTTACGGCGACACAAAATTAGATAACAACCGTATATTTTCATACAACTATCAGCACATAGTCCGGATATAATACAAATAACAGAATACTATTGATATTACGATTGCCCGAGGTCGCAAAATAATAATAATATTATTATTCCATTTTTCCTACTGCCATCGAACAGCGGCCACAAACAGGGATAATACCCTGATTACAACAAAAATTAACGAATTTTTTGAAAAAACCACAATATAGGCTACATTTAATTTATATATATAAAATAAAATATATGATAAAGTTTAATTCAGAGACCGATGACAATCATAAAATTAAATATTTTATTTTTACTGTTTTTACCTTGTATAGCTAGGAAATGCCTCAAGGGACTTTAATATATTCAATGTATACAATCAATACATATTATATAACCATTCAATACATTGAGTAAAAGTATATCAAAATACAAATCATGCATGTGTGTAAAAAATTCATACTGAATTAAATTATTTTGCGTATTCATTAATTTTTAATAATTAAAAAATATATGTTACTTTGTAAGTACATTAGTTAATATTAAATGTTTTATTTAATCAATAATTATTAAAGCGTATTACTATTTTTGAACGATTTACTCACATTGAGAGTAGGTTCTAACTATTGCATTAGACTCTTAACACAACGCATCATCACTTCGTGTTCTTATATTTGCATAATGTTGTAATTTTGTTTTATAAGCGGAGCAGTTAGTACCTACATACCGATACATACATACATTGCTGATGTATGTGCAGGTATAATATTATTTTAGTCCAAGATTATATTTTTTATATGAAGAACATAATATTATAGAACGCATTTTACAAGAACGTGACGTGTCCATTTGTATTTAACCGCCGACGCAGGGTTCTTTTGTATATGAGCCGTTACACCACCCGATTATTCCCTCGACCATCTGTCCCTCCTTTATTTTCAACCGTCACCAGGTATGCCTTGCTTTGAGCATTATGTCGGGTAGTAGGTATTTTAAAGAAATGGCTGCGCCGATTTTTTTTGCTTTAGCAGCTGCGGTTTTGGCGCGCAAATCGTTTTTACTGGTCAATGACCTATTTAATATAATTACTGTGCTCCTCAACCCCTTCAACATAGTTTCGATTCCCACCCTATTACATTACTCGGAGAAATTCGTACGTCCCTCGTTACAAAATATAATTTTATATATTTATTTTTTTAAACTACTAACCTTCTTCAAGTAAAAATGTCTATGTAAAACTTTGATCGCCGAGTTCATTATTATGTATCAACGTACTACGTGTATTGGCATAATAGTATTTCGAATGAATGTTATTACTTACCTACCCTACCCATTGTTAGGTCTTATGATATAACATTATGTTAGTAAAGCCTATGCAAATTTATGATCCGTCACGTTATACCTATACTGATATAATTTAATTCTTAATGTCTCATGACAATATAATTTTTAATTAACAATTGTTTCTGAAGCATAATCAAAATTGTGTTGCTACTAAAATAACAATGTATAATATAGGAAGTAATAGCTATAGCCTATAATAAAACAAAAATTCATTCACGAAAACGCATAAAATGTATTGCAATAAAATATGACGTTTTAGCGTTATCTTAGTAGAGCAAATAATTATACCTTGCACTGATATGCAAACGATGACACATTCTTGAACGTATACGGGTGCTACTTGTACAACAACTTGTGCAACACAAGTCATGGTTTTTGTTTTCTTTGTTCTAATCTAATCAGCGACTGCTCTAATCCCGTGTGTCGGAACGTCGTCATTTATTTTACTTTAGCATATATTAATCAGAACAATGTATTTATACTTACGGTGCGTTCTGCATTCGTTTGTACGCCTAGTTGTGTGACGTAAAATATTATTTTTACAGCTGTAACAATGCAAGTACGAGTACTTTTAAAATGTTTTTAACCAATTTCTTACGCGTTCTAATCAAACCTAGCCATTAACGATTACAAATAGATAATTATTGTTAATTAACGAACGCGTTATGTAATAGAAGTGTAACGTAATTCATAAAAAAAAAAAATAGAGACAATTTAATTATGTACTATTTTTGCACAAACAGTTAACGGTTCATTGATAAAATAAAGACGCGTGTCTAATGTGGTAGTGAAAGACAAGGCGCCCGGTTGAGTTTATAAAATGTAGGCACAAGACAGCTGTGTGAAATTTTCGTTCCGTTGCTTTTCAGATTTTTTTTTTATAGGTATTATTTTTTAGCTTGCCCAATAACGCTACCATGAAAAACCAACCTGTACATTGCTCAGCTACGTCGATCGAAACTAATCAAATATATATTGGTATGATAAAAAAAAAAAACGGTACGCGGTAAAAGTTCATAAAGATTAGAAAAAAACGTCGGTAATTGTTTTTTCCTGGACCGTTTATGTTTCGTGGTCCATTAATGATGTCTAGCTATAAAAAAAACACATTGCAATTGGGTATAGGTATACTGTAGCTTGGACGCATTATGAACACATTAGTCTTGATATATCAGTCGCATTATATTGATTAACATGTGATCGAGATAATATACTTAGTACACAATTTGTTAAGGGAAGAATGAGAACGGATGTTATTAACGCGTTTTTTTGCGCCACTGCCATGTAAAACTATTAGTATTATATTATATTGATGGCTTAGTAAAAAAATTCTGTTAACACAATTTTACCCAAAATTATTTATTGTAGGTATAATCTGGAAAATGATAGAGAGGTTTTATTTCGCAAAAACATGATGAATTAAATTTTCCTTATTTCAATCAGTAGAAAGTGTAATAATTATGAGTACGAGGTATACACAAGTGTAAGTAAGAAGTATATTAAGTATACGAAACAAATTTTAAAGAAAAAGTTAACACATTTTTTATGGATTGAATACCGGTAGAGGATAATTTAATACTTCATTTATTTTAAAGTCAATATACTGCGAGTATCTAAACATTATTTTTGTCACATAATTTATGCAAATTAGTAACATTTTATGGATCATTTGGAACACAGCCACAAGAGCGTCTAAATAATTTGTCTTAAGTTCCAGTTTGCTATTTTTAGTGTGGTAGCCATCAGTGACCGGCATAAATGTACCGTTTTTTAAAATTAGACTTTCAAGAGTGAATATGTATTTACATATAAGTAATTTTCACTTAGTAAAGAATTGGGACTGTGTCCAGATCTGCGTAGATTGATATAAAGATTTGCGCACATATACCTATCGCAAAGGGGTTAGAATTCCATCGTTCATAAGTTACGTTATAATATTACAGAAGCTATAGCCTATAATTCCATTAGCTGCTATTATGTTTTATTGAGACATGCAACAATTTTAAAAAGCGTTAGTGTAGCTATTGTGAACATACTACACAGCTCCTTAATTCGTGATAATATAGTGTAAACTATTATGTAATATTTGATATCAAATGCACTAAATCTTATGGTAATGTAATCTAATGGTAATATTAACCAGTAATAATTATATAAAATTTGGTTTCAGGTTAACCTGTGCAGTATTATTTTGATCATCATTATCATGTCTGAAAGAGTTTTTGGATAACGTCAAGTGTAGAAATGCCAGAAGATATGGTGACAATTGCGTTTCTGCGTAAGTATTATTTCCATGTGACCCCTCCGTAACTAACTCGTGCTGTAAAGGCGCGTGACTAATAATAAACGTTCTTCATTACAAAATATTAAAAAAAAAAAGGATTTCTAAAACACTATTTAGATGTCTTCTTACGATCATAACGATCCACAAATTTTAATTCATTCTAAATACAACTGGTATATTATATAACTGGAAAATGTATTGTGACCTGACAGATAAATAATTCATCTAATTTTCTTTGAGTATTATATGGAATGGTAGTTGGTACATTGGTTTTCAAAAGGAAAGTGCCATTTGATTTTTTTTCATCAGTGTACATGTAATAATATTATTTCATTTTATTTTACTTCTATATTTTTGACTCGCTTTATTATGAATAATATTCGTATTTTCACCGCTTTCTTCTCCCCTACTTATTCCCCTACTATACAACAAGGACATGCTTCATAGAATTAATGCGGTTTGTCAATAGGCAGCGTGATAATAACAATAATGGTAGTATATAAAGCGACAATAGCCGAGACTAGATATCCTTATTTCCTGATGATTTTCATGAATATTAGTGGAAAGCTGAAGTTTTCTTTGATCTGCGTTATAAAATTATCATGGGCGAGCCATAAACGAACCATAATTAATTGGTATAAAAAAGAAAATATGCATACATTTATAGTATGGTTGTTAGTTGTTACATATAGTTGTTTTTTTTATGAAGTTTCAAAGTTTTAAAAAATAAATTAAAAACAACGCAATTTGCTACCATTTTATGACCGTTTAACGATTTATCAAATAATATTAAATGAAATAATTTTGATTGTTGTAAGTGTAAATACATTAAATTTCTCGTTATTCTTAACGAGTCTTAACTAAAATAAGAAATACTAATTATTATTTCTTAGAAGCTATAAAATAATTTTCAATCTTCATCATTATCAACGCATTTTCATACACTGTAACATAGTATTTTGAGTCTGTTACTTGTTGTACTTAAATAAATTAAATGAAAAATTAGAATTTTTTTATCTATTAGTAAAATATATAATACGTTCAATACACTATTAAAACCCAATTTAATATTATAAATTGATAATTTATATTTTATTTGTGTCTTTCGTTTCTTAAATAACATTAATGCTGGGTACATAAAACTTGATTGGTCCTATAAACCGTTATTAGAGCAATATGATTGGACCAGACACGGTTTATGGAATCAATAAAGTTTTGTTTACCCCAATCATTAGTTTAATTTTATCAATTATTATAATAATGATATCCACATTAAAATTGACATTTTTAATGTTGAGTTAGGATGGTTAATTAAAAAAAAAAAAAACATTTCTTTCAATTCCTACAACTGTTTGATTTGTTTTTTATTAAAATTCAGTTTATTGTTACACTTGGAAGCGTTATGACAAATCGAATAGTATTACAAATGCATTAGCTGGTAAACCCTATTTTAATGCAGTTTTATGGATTTGTATTTTAAAGAATGATAATCATCTATATGTATAGGTGTTACTAATAAAAACTTTCTAGTAGTAAAATATATTTTAATAAATTATATAGTACTTATTTAGCTTATTTTAACTCTGCGCCTCTCCTAAACTAAAATAACATGTAAGTAATTTATTTGCAAAAAAAAAAGTTATTTGTATGTTTTTAGTGATTTTTCGTACTTTAATTGGCAGTTTCGAACAAATATTTAAAAAAATGTTCTCATTCTTTCAAAACTGTCTTGCAATTATAGCAGACATTTTATTTATATAATACATTTTTACTCTACTTTAGTATAATGGATTGTCATGTATTTTTGCACTAGTTTATTAATTAGGTAATTTGAAAATAAATACATTTGTTTTGTATAAATGAATATTACTGGTTTACACAACAGCAATGGTGTGGCTGAAACTTTCAAAGAAAACATTTAGTTTTGGTTAACATATATTATATTACGTTTAGTATATTAAAAAAAAAATGTCACCCATTTCATTTTTTTTTAAAGTAATTTTTCAACATTTTTAGTTTCTACAAAACCAAATAATGTATAATAATATATATTATAGTTTAATGTACTAGAAATGTGTTGATAAGTAAATTTTGATGTGTTATGAGAGTACCTACTTTTTGTTTACTGTGTTTTAACGTTATCTACAATATTTTTTTCTTAGAGTGTTAATTTATTGCATCTTGGTGTGTCCCTGAGTAAAATTTGATAGTGTGTTGATGAATTATGTAGTATTGTGATGCTATTAACCTTATATGACTTCATAATAATTTTACTGTCGGTTTAACGTTTTAAGTTATTACATTTTCTGTCGTTTTATTTTCTACAATTTAAACGACTTTGACTGTCAAAATTTTAATAGTATTATACACAAACGTCAATTACTATTTTTTTTTTATGGTTAAGGCGTCATATAATTTTATAGACAAACTACAGTTTTTTTTTTTATTGTTTAATATCTTCTGGTAGCGTATCACCACCAATGTCCTTCACGGTCTATTGACCACCGATGACACAAATCGATTGGCCGTTTTCTTAAAAATAAAAAAAAAGTCTTACCACGTTGGTACCTATATACATTATTATTATATATACGTACGTACACTTCCCGCTTTACCGTGCGCGTCCGCTGTGCTGTAGTTACCCAGTGAACCGTGGACGGAAAAACGATTACCACACAGTAGTGGTGGCACGGTTGATGACCAACAACCAAGTTTTCTTCTAGCCAAATGCCAGGCAGGACACTGCAGACGGTATTTATATGTAGTAGATAGTATATTAAGCAAACTATCGCAAGGCTAAGTGGTAGCGGTAAATTTTCTTGCAAATGTTTGAGCTCTAGCGAAATCATCAATTCGATATGATCGATCGCAACGGCATAATATTTAAATATATATACACTTACTCCGCGGCCCGTGGTTTTAATCAATTGGTTTTGTGTTCGGTAATTTCGTAGTTATAACACTAGACCAAAACAAAATAATGGTAATAATGAAAGTCACGTATATACGACGGACGATGCAACCGGCACAAATCGTTAGTAAAAAAAACGCTGAATTGATTTTTTCCCCCGATTTCGATAAAGTTATAATTTTTGTTCACGCGGTGGACAGTCTATATACAGCGTTAAAATGAATGGCTCTCGTCACGTGCACAACAGCAGGTATCTAGGTTCAACAACGCGGCGCGGCAGTCTATTTGTCAACTCTACGCCGTGTATAATATAATTATCGTGATTGATGTACGGAGACGCCGGTGTTCCGTCTCGAGAAAAGTGGTTATGAAACAGCTTTTGCCGAATTTGGAAATTGTCAGTGTAATTTTCGAGTAAAGCAAACTAAACACTGTATATATATATACTATAATATACAAACACGTTGGGATCGACCGAGTATGGAATAAGAAAGTCATTTTTTATTATGTTTTTTTATGACGCGTTCAAATTGGCGTCTAAAGTTGACGTCGACAGTCATGTGTTTTTAAGATTTTGCCTCGTAACAGTAATAATAATTATTAAAACATTTTGAAAAAATCCGTGTACAACGACTGGAACACACCCGAAAGAGACCGCGGTGTCGAGAAATTTATTTGTATTTTCTATAACAGCTTCTTTCACGCCGATGTTGAGACGTTGCATAATATGGAATATTGTAATTCGATAGAACTATAGTATACATAGTTCGATATGAAGAATTCTATAGTTGCCGATATCGGTAACATACATATTTTTTTCTATTTATTTTTTTTTATTATAAAAGTATTGGCATAAAAAAAATCTTTACATCTATGTAACATATTTGGCGGCATTCGTCAATGATATCGGACTTATTAGTTATGGTCAACAAGACGTGTCCGTACAGACGTTTTCCGAATGTAAAACGAAAATTCTCAAAAAAAAAAATAATAATAAAGACTATTTAAATTTAAAACATATAAATGGCTATAATTTTTCTTTTTAATCCCATAGTGACGGATGACATTTATTAAGAGTGAACCGTTTTCTTTTTTATATGAACTATAACAATTTGTTTTTGTTTGAGTTTACAACAATTCGATTTTGAAATGCATTATTTGTGTAAGTATGTCATATTTTTTTGTTTAACTTACTGTTATATAATGTTTCATATGATATGTTTAAAAATAGTTAGTTTACTCTAAATAATATCTACACGTAACTGACAGTACATAATATACTTGCTGCCGTTTAGACCGAAAATTATTTCAACTAGAATAGATACGTTTAGGAATAATCCCAAACAATGAAATTGTTTATTTTTATAGTTTATTATGAAATGTTATTAATTTATATTAAACTATTAGTGGGTTTGAATAATGTGTTGAACGACCACTATATAATAAGTGTCGTTTTGTAAATTACCGGGAAAGCTTTAACGAAACGACAATATTGTATAATTGGATAGTTAACTATAGTCGTTATGACTACTTAACCGGAGCTACTGTCTTGCCCTGCTCGTGAATAATGAGTTAGACGTTAAGAAATCTGAAAATTGGATAATTACAGAATGGTTGTTGGCATTTCATGTTATTAGTACAGGCGTTCACCCTATTGCTATAACCTCAGCGATTGTACGTGTTGAGAAAATAAAGCCACAACGATGTGTATAAGTTACCTTGAATTACCGCTTTTTTTACAATCGTTTGCATATTAACCACAGCACAATACGACGCATTTAATGGGGAATATATTGCGGGCACATTGATGGTAAAATAAATAGCCATTTGGTGTTAACGGAAAATAAATGTAGTTGCTCAATAACATACATTATACAATTAGAAATTGTTATTATAGAGATAATGCGTTCGTATGAGAGCAATATCCTCGCCAAAAACCGTTCCTTTTTCGCATAAGAAATATATATATATATAACATAATTTTAATACTTCAGTCTTGGACGGTTTTGTGGTATATTATGTACCGTTTTTATATGTCGAGGGCCTTACTTTTCGAAAATAGGATAGTACGACATCAACTTAACAAAAACCATGTATATGTTATACCTGCGTGTGTTTATGGTTTCGTGGTGGCCATGGTTACTACTGCTGTGGCTACTTAAAACGACTCTATAAAATAGAACGTTTCGTTTTTGACACGCATAATATTCGGATCCCACAGTAGGTAGGCATGCTAAAGGATAATAAAGGTCCCTAAAAATTAGAATATTTTTGTAGCCGGCGTACAAAGCTTTTGTTTTGGAGAATTCATATTTTATTATTTAATACCCGCTTTTTACCGTGTTGTGAAAAAACGGGTCAATAATTGAAAAACTTAAAAACATGTGTATATTTTTTTAACGCGCACTTTTTTAATACAATAATACACATAACAGATAGTATTTATACATTTTACTAGTAATTTAAATCAAAAATAATTAAGCCTTTTAAAATAAACTTAAGATGTTAAACAATTTCAATATTATCCTTATAAACGTTTGTTGTAACTTGTACCCGCAGTGTTACGAAACAATATAACAATAAACGAAGTAATAATTTATAGCTTAATATAATATACACTATTTAACCGAATCATCATTTAGCGCTAAGTGCATTCTACTAATGATATTATAATAGTGTAATAATAATATCTTAAGAACCATTAAAATAGCTATTTAACAAATAATTCAATATTATTATTTCTCTGTGATTTGAATAAGGGTAAAACATGTGTATACTATAGTTGCCAAATAAAAATATTTAATAATTGTTCACGTACAGTAAAAAAAAGCGCTTGTAACGACACAAAATGAACAGGCAAAAAGGTGGACGTTTCAAACGATCAGTTAACTAGTTAATCTAACCTAACCGTGCTTTTCACATATCACTAAATAAATATAAATAAAAAACCGGGACACTTCGGTCATGCAAACCGATTTGTCGTACTAACCGTTGTCGTTCTAATCGATTTCTTCTGTACGCAATATTTTATGTTAATTATAGTTGTTTTCGTGACAAAAAAATACTAGTAATTGGATTTTGATAAAAAAAAATTGTTTCAAAGACGAATATATTTTTAACGCTACGCTGCTACAATGACCGACTAAAAATAAACACCAATATTTTTAAAAAAGGCATAATTTTACTGGGGGCCATCTCTTTGATATAATAAAGTTTTTGAACAGGGACTTGTCGTCTAAGGATTTGAACTACTAATTTACTTCGAAACATTTACCTTTTTTTTCTTCTAGAATTCTAGAAGCATGTAATTACGTGTATTTTTAAAAAATATTACTTATATTACTTAGTTCTTATGAAATGGACAACAATATTTTGAATATTTTTACTGATCGATACAGTTTTTAATGACTACTTACTACATAGTCCTGCTTAAGTGTATAAGTTATGTGGAAGAACGTACTTAACTCCTCGTTTATTGTCCACTTGTAAAACCTTGTGAAGTGTTGAATAATAGATATATTTTACAGTCAAAACGTTATTATTGTATAAATAAACTGATAAATAATTTAGTTTACAATTTCAATTTTAAAAGGTATATAAAAGCATTGAAATATTAACAAAAGTTAAAAATAAATTAATTAACTAAAAATGTATTTAATAGTGCCGTACATTTAATGAATGTATAGTGTATACTAATTTATTATAGGTATTCAGGATACAGTGACTTTAAAATGCGACTATAAATTGTTGTGTCGCATTAAAATGAAGTTCATTTTATTATTGAATATTCATCATTGCATTATTATAGAACAAGATGTGTTTTTCAATTTATTTATTTTATTGGGTCATTACAAACTGCACAGTTGCACTGCGCGATTGCTTACAGGGCATTTTACACGTACACTTTTAGTTCCCACGACTTGTTTAATATATTCAGTAGTTAACTGATATGCGATTATCGGGTTATGAGTTATCAAGGATTAAAAACGTTACTAAGCTAAAATTTAAATAGTTTGTTACGACTTAACAAATGTAGATTGTACTGATTAATTACTCCGCAGTTGTCTTAGTCAATTAAAAACATTCAAAATTTATGTTACTCATGCCTTTTGGAACAATAACAAATGTAGTTCTTGAAATTGAATTTTCCTAAAGACATAATTTTACTAAGTTTTTTTTAGTTGACTTATTTAAAAAAAAAAAAAAGTTTAAACTCAATTAAGCTGTCAGTATAACATGATATTAATAAACCTGTGTTGTTAGTAATTACAAGTAAAGATCATTTTTGACTAGGTAACGTTTTCAATCCCTTATTATTGTCGTTAGGATATTACGATTTTTAACTCGTTCTTGTGTTTTATATGTTTTCAGTTATTACTGTCGCGGGTACGTTTCTTTCTACCGTCGTCGAGAGCTCTGTCGTCAAAGCCAAAGCACAATGTGTGAATTCAAAAGATTCTCGGGGCCTCTTGGTGGCGGATTGTTCCAGAAACGATCTCTCTGTCGTACCGGAAAATGTTATGAGTGACGTAGAGGTTGGTTTTTAACACAGTTAAATATTTGCCCTATACGCAGGTTTTTTTTTAAAGGTTTTTCATAACTGCTGAACCACATTGCTTAATGTTTTATGAGCAATATTGTCTTCGATAATAATATAATTCATTATTTATTCGGCAATTTTAATTAATATTCAGTTTGCACGTTACTGTTTAAACTTTTTTCTATATAGTTTCTAATAATTATAAACGATACACACTCCAAAAACTGTGCGGTTTTAGAGTTTTTTTTTTCAGGCACCGCCTGAACTCGCACAGACGAAATTTGTTAAATGGTTATTTAGCGCATGATGGATAAACGACCAAAGATTATACGCAATACATTGTGTCTTAGTTTAAGCCTAATAAGAGCCAAGACTAAACGGGGAACAATACCGCTGGATTTCGATCGACAACAATCAGCGGCGCTTGTCCGTCAAGAGAGTATTCGCAATGATTTGTGAATCGCGTTTTTATAATATTAGTACGGTCGCGTTCTCTCCTTTTAATGGACAGTCTACGTTAAGAAACACTATAATCGATTTACTTCTTTCTGCCGTAATTTCCAAACCGAATCTCTTCGCCGCGCCGTATCGACGCGAATCGCAGTACGGACCGAATACAAATATAATTGATACGCCGACTTCTAAGACATCTGTTAAGTTTCACTTCGGACCATCAATTATTATGATTTCTGGCACGCGGAGAATTTTTTTTTTGGATTTGCCCCTGTCGATCCTCGTATGTTTATCAATTCACATTGTAACGTAGACTCGTCCATACCCATCATATACCACGCATAATGTACATATATTTTTGTATCGCTGGCATGCTTTTCTGAAAATGAGGTTTGTTTTTTTTTAACTTGTCTCGGGACAAAAATAAAACAATATGTCCGTAATTGCGGTAACAAGTTCGTAAAATTAGTGGACCGGCGGCTGTAGCGATAATATGCATTTTAGGGAGTGTTTTTAAGAGTAAATAGCGTTGACGTGATTCACAGCTTTTATCTAATAATCGGTCTCACCGGACGTTTGTATTACCTATGCAGAAATGCCGGACGCTCTCCAAACAATGATATTCAGATTTTTTTTTAAACCACTAATTTTGTTTGTTTGTTTTATTTCAGTCGTTAGACTTGCGGCACAATTACATCCGTAAACTGACAAATGACAGTTTTACGATTTACCCGTCAATCAAGAAACTGTACTTGTCTACAAACGCCATCTTCATGGTGGAAGCGGCCGCGTTCGACCCGCTCGACGACCTGGAAATACTCGATCTGGAACAAAACGCCTTGAAAGGTGTTCCGCCTGGTCTGCCCAAAGCTTTGAAGAAACTATATTTAAGCTCTAACCCGTTGGGAGACGTCCCAGACAACAACGCCAAGGCCGATATGACCCACCTGGCCGAGGCCGTCGGCCTCCAGGTGTTGCACATGCGTGACTGCGAACTGCGCCGTTTTCCCCACATGGGCCTACTGCCCAATCTGGTGGAGCTCGACTTGGCCAGCAACCCAATACGCGAGATCGCGCCGTCAGACTTGGCCCAGCTCTGTCGCTTGACCAAGCTGAACGTCAACGAAACGGAACTGTTCCGGGACCAACAAAACGTTTGCCAATGCCGCCAGCTGGAGAAATGGGCAAACGAATATAAGGTGATCATCATCGGCATGAAGTGCCCGGACGTTGTTACGGATGAACCGTTGAACGAAAACTGCACCGCGATAACCGACGAGGCGCGGGCCGTCTACAAGGAGTGCATGTCCGAATGGGAGCACAGGAACATGCCGTATTGGGCGATCGGTTCGGGTTTGCTGATCATCGTAGCTATTATATTTATATTGTGCCTGTGTTGGCGTCGCAGAAAGCGCTCGGACAAAACTCAATCCGTGCCGACCAGTGACAGCAAAGAAAACGATCCGGGCAACAACAAAGCAGAGCCTACGTTGCTGTCGCCTTAAAAGTTTCCGTTCTTATACTCCTAATTGAAAAAAAATATACATAATTGAAATAATTTCAAAGATAGGCGCTGTAATAATTATTTTATTTGATTTTTTAAGTACATTATGCACGTACAGCGTACTTGCATTTGCCTCGTACAGCGTAATGCGTTTTTACGATTATTTCTTTAACAATTTGTATGATCTCTAAACGCGGGTTTCGCGATGATTCACCTACTATAATATTCAGTACAATTTTGTTATCAACGTTCTACTGTTAAGACGCGACTATTTGAATTTAACTGAGTGATTTTACTCTACTATTGTTTATTGTCCGAACCTTTGCGAAAACGGTCAATTTTGAGACTACTCGGGATTTGTAAATTTTAACACGCGAACAATATGTTATTGTCTTTTTATAATTATTGTTAATGTAAGTGCAATTTGCTTGTTGTTGTTGAACACTCTTATTATACCTAAGTTTTTTACAAACCAATGATTCCTAGCACATTACAGCGATAACAACGCAATAACATCACGTAATATAATAATATTATAATAGTATAGTGTTACTATAATTCTAGTATAATATTAGTGTTCTCGGTTCGAATTTGATTATTGTCTGTATCATGCCTATAATCTATATTATATATGATGGAAACACGCTGAATATTTCAATACATATTTTTTATTACACTAGCTGCTTTAAAAGCTACTTTTTAAAAAAATTTATTTTTAATTTAAGTTTGTTTAAAACGGTTAAGACAATAAGTTAGTCACTAGACTTACACTATATTATTTTAATAATAATAATAATAATAATAATTAATAACATAATATTCTATTGCTTATTTATTATTTATCGATTATTACTATATGCATTTACATTATTAAATTTAATATAAACTATATATGTATAGAGAAAACATTTAACATTCAGTATTTTTGTTAGATCAGGTTAAGTTCACGTATTTTTGTTTTTTATATGTATATTTTATTTGTTTTTGCTTTTATTCCACGAACAAAATATAAATGGTACTTTTTGTTATATGTTTAAATGATATTGAATTTTTTTTTTTTGTAACTTTCTTCCCCTAAATCGACCTCTCCACCCCTTGGCAGTAATACAATATCCATGTAGAGGGTACTCAGTAAACTAATAGTGGTAGTGGTTTCGAGTGGTAGAAGAAGACCCATGGATTCGTCGCGGTTATTATAGTTTTACATTAAATCACTTTTAAAACTAATGTATTAATATATAGATTTCTACCTATGATGTAACATATAAACCTATGTTTTACATTGAAAGGTGAAGAATATTATTAGCTGTAGACTTCAAAGGTTATCATCGATGAGCGTTATCCTGCAATTGAAACGGAAGCTATAGAAGTGTTAACTATAAATCACTGTATAACCTGACCCTGACTAATATACAGTATTTAATGTATATTATTGATAATATAGTTAACATAATAAGTAATTTTATCATTGGGTATTATAATGACTGATGGATGTATGAACTGGTAGGTGGTCTGGGCATTAATTAAATATAAATTCAAACAAGTATTTAAAATACTAATGGAATTAATAATTCAAATAAATTTTTATTTAAAATAATAGATTTTTTTTTAAAGTAAAAAAAAATGTATTTAAATATAATATTATTTGAAACAGTCAATTATTGCGTATGTCAAGTACTGAAGTACGAATTTATTTTAAACAAGAAATTATCTGGTGCACTAAATAAAAAATAATTTACTTAACTTATTTGTATTGTATTATAACTTATTATTTTTAAATAATTATTCGTTATTTTTTATTAGAAAAACAACAATCTGTACAAACGTTGTATACTATAAGTCGTTGCGGCGAAGTTAACATAAGGAATTGGCTTACATGAAGTCATCCAGCAACGGTACTTTATATTAGCTTTATTTGATTATGGGGTTTGGCACGAGGGTAAGGTGGTTAAAGACGGGAGGAATAAAATTATGAGTTAAATATATTGTTAAATTTATTAAACTTTTTTATGCAACACACTGCATTTGGGTGTCAACACTATTTTTTCATATAATCTTTGTTGGTATAATTTTTTTAAGTATCAACATTAATGGTCATTTGCTTGTTTGGTTGGGTTTGTGTGTTATGGAGAACACGTGTGGTAGATATATGGTATAATTCCGCCACTTAACCCTTTGAGGCATAGCGGGACGAAAAATAACCCACCATGTTAAATGTAGATATTTTATTTCTTTTAGTAAACCATGTTTTGCTGTCTCTATTGTTCAATATTTTACACCCTTGTTTATCATCAACTTACAAGAAAAAATTGAATATGTTTAATTTAATCTATGAAACGACTAATTTAGTTATCCGGTGTCATTCGTATAGACAGGAAATATGTCACACTAACACATCTTAGAACTGACCATACTAATACTCGTCACCCCTTATTTTGGCCAAATAAATCAAGAACCAAATTATCAATTACTAAAAGTCCCTGAATTAGAAAACAATATTATCGAAAATGATTCACCTGAAAATACATTGGAACCCAATATTAATGAGAATGACGCATCAAGTAAATTTGTATTTACTGCTCCAATATGGTTAAAAAATAATGTTATTTCATAGAAACCTCTTCCCGAATTAAGGACTATAATATGAACATGAAATGCGTCGATAAATTTGACCAATATAAAAAGATGTACCACATAGATAGAAAAATTCGCAAGTGGTGGCATCTCATATTCTTCTTTTTTTTTGACGCAGCTATTGTTAATTCTCATATAATATACACAAAAACTACAGGTGAAAATTTGTTTATTAATTTAATTACAAGAAACTGACATTTTTAAATGAAAATCGGCTTCCTACATAACATAGTGAACTAGCCAAAAAACTTAACAGAATTTAAATTGGACCATCCTATGTAGTAGAAACTATGTTGTCTGGCTATTTGGTCTAAAATAAGCCAAAATGGTTTTTACTCATAGAAACAATTATTTAAATTAAAAATAATACCTTGAAACTTATATAAATTAACCGGTAAATTAATTGACATGGTCGAAATGTAATTAAAACCTTTTTTCTTAAATGTTGCCTATACAAAACTCCTTAAATTCAGACCGCATGCAATCCTCTTAACTAGATTTTGATATGGTCCATTTTTCGATAAAGTTGTTAGCGCTGAGTTATTTTATGCAGTTTTTCTTATAAATAACATCTGCTTAATATTTGTTAAGCTTATAGCGTCGTCTTACGCGTAAACCCGTGGTTTATAGATTGTGCAAACTATTGAGACAATATTATTTTCTACCAATTACAATTTACAGTAGAATCTACTGTAATTGGTGCACGAAAAGTGTATTTTTTAAATGACACACACAAGACTTATCGACCTCCATTGAAAAATGATTTTAAAGAAATAAACAGATATTTCGTTTTATATTTGCGTTCTATAAAATATTTTACATTAAAATTGTATAATGACATTTAAATACAACCACATTTTGGCGGTTCAAGTTTCCAAACCTCTTTGACATTATGGTTTTGAGGTTATGTACTTTAATTTTACAACACAGATCAATAATTTGATTTAATCAGCCGCAAAAATGCTTATCATAATGTAATCGGAAAAATAATTAGTCAATTAGTGTTAAGTTGTGAAAACTTAATTTTTTAAGACTGAGTGGTGATTTTTTTTCATACTTGCTTTCTGTTTTTTGTGAATATTTTTAATAATAGCTATGTTATTTCCTTTTAGTTTATTTATATTTTAAATAATTGAACTGCATTGTTAAGTATATAGAAGAAATATTTACACGATTAATACGAACAAATGTTGCGTTTAAAATCGTACGATTTGGATACCAATTTCAGTACGAAATATCTGAATAAGACATCTTATCAAGATGTTCAGTATTCGGATAGGAACATTATTCCACGTGTTGAAATGGTAAATCCTATAATGATAAATAAATACACTTTGATAAACATAAATATATTATTACAATGCAAATATGTATAAGACTTCATCATATTGATAATCATATCATTCTAATGATTTGTTTATGTTTTAGTTTTTGAAACAATATTTAGAAGCATCCAAACAAATTAAATACTTGGATAAGGAAATAATTGTTAACAGTTTACGTTCTCAATATCCTGAGTATAATAGAAAACCGTGGGGAGTTGTTAGTAATTTGATTGCTAGAGGTTAGTACAATACGTTATAAACATAAATCGTTTTTTAATAGTGACATATTGATTTTAGCTCTTGTAGTTATCGAGAGTAAAAAGATTGTCAATGTGAAGAATGTTGATCCCATGTCATCTGAAGACTCCACCATTGACATAATGTCGTCAGGAGAAGAGCAAATCGATATAACTAACGATTTGGATCCTCCAGAATGTTCAAATTATATTACCGAAGTAAATGTTTCTGGATCAGAAGAAGCACAAGAGTTAGTTCCATTATATATCTATATACCTACCATCATATACTCTAATTTATACAAGTATTATATGCCAGTTATATATACCACTTTACCTTATTTTAGAATTGGAACAGATTTAGATATAATTGATGTAACTACAGTGACTTCAACTGAAATAAAGCAAACACTGAACAATACTATACCAGAAGAAACCGAAAAAGTAATTGAATTAACACTAGTATTTAAATTAGCTTGTTTAGTCTTAAACAACAAACAAAAAAGTGTTGGTATGTAGAAAGATAACCAAAATAATTGGTTTGTAAAGGTCTATTTACACATATCCGAGCTGTGCTGTCCGTGCCCTATTTGTTTTATAGTTTGTAGTATAAACATTCACACAGTTCGGTTCCGTGCCCGATCTGGGCTTGCAGTGCGCCTTACGAACCGAAAAAGTATTAAGGACAACAATATTGGTCGTCCAGGCCCAGAGACTTAAATGGTCAGAACGGATATATTTAGATTGAATTCCGAGAGTTCCTTACATTTCCCAATCGTCATAGAGTACATTTTTGAATTATAACTATTATTTATACCATTTTACTTTTAGACTTTAGTATACATACTTATCCGGCATAAAACTGGTGTTGGTAAGACTTTTATTTTGCCAATTTTGATACGTTATTATGGTATTATCATACTTTTTTAATAAAACTGTGCAATATGCATGTCGCGATAATGATGTTGTCAACATTTTCAAGCTTTGACTAAATATGTTGTGTTATAAATTCAACATTTTTGCATTAATACACCAAATGCATTTTCCGAAGTTTGTTTAGCTCTTGAATGTCTATGGTTGTAAATGTGTGTGTATTAGGTTATTTTTCAAATCGGATTGGATCCGACTTGTATCGGATCAGACCTGGAGGTGTGTAAATACTTATACTCGGATAGATAGCACGGACTCGGTATGGATATGTGTGAACACACCTTAAGATGTTTTTATTTATGTTAATATATTAAATACTTAAACTAGTATATTAATATACATTTTTTAAATATGATCAAACTTAAATTGAGTTGGCAAGTATCAGAACATTGTATATTCACATGTATAAATTGAACCGTAGGTAGTCAATATATGAGACCAAAGACCATTAAACAAAAAAAACATTCCAAAATATTGATAACGATCAAATGTGGGCGATCAATTTTTCGCAACTTGATAATTCATTTATAACAATCCTCTATCTTACTATGTAGAGACGATAATAACTGAGCAACAATTTTGTGTTCCATATCTCTAGAAGTGTTTTTTTTCGTTTTGGTGAAATTGAGTCTACTTCATCTATGAACAATACACATGGTGTGGAATTTCACAGTAGTTTCAAATCATTTCCTCGCTAGTTTTTACGATTCGCCACTTATACCAACTACCAATTGTGGAGCTTCTATACGTATTAAGGGCACTTTTTAATCCCAGTAAAACAGAGTTCCGGTAAATAACTAGATATCCCGGGGACTATTGACTTTTATACTTCCCTGCTTTTAAACAATATGTATTTCAATAAGATAAAAATCGAGTTCCGCAGATATAGATATTATATATATTTATGCTCTCCCCTTTTGATGAACTATTTATAAATATATATATATATTTGTTTCAATTAAACAGTATCAATTTAGAAGGCAGCCTTTCTTTAGTCCGATAGTAATGAAAAGAAAAGTCCAAAATGTAGACAATACAATAGACACAATGCCGACTCCAATGAAAAAAGTTTGCCAACAAATCGGATCGGCTGAAGAAGTTAAAGTAACATTTGATGATCTTGCTGGTTGCGATTCAGTGTTATTGGTAAAATTAATATACTCATACATTTATGTATCATTTTTATTTTAATTTATATATTTTTTAGGAAATTTGTCAACTTATTATGCACATTAAGCATCCAGAAATATACAAAACTTTAGGGGTGTCGCCACCAAAAGGTTTTTTATTACATGGACCTCCTGGATGCGGTAAAACACTTTTAGCGCAAGCTGTTGCGGGAGTATGTATTTAAAAAAATTTTAATTGTTGATGTGACAAATTATTATTTGAATGTCAAACCGAATTAAAATCAAACTTGAGTGTTTACTTTAGTTTGAAAACCAAACATGATAACACATTTTTTAATTGAACTATTAGTTAATTAACCTACAATCACTTTTAAAAAAAATCTCTGTTGCAAAATACAGTTAAATATAAATTTAAATCATTTTTTTAGACAATAAATGTGCAATATGTAGAGAAACAATATTTTAATTTTTAGTATTTTTCTAAAAAAAAATTTTTTTAAACAGATTTTTTAATTTTTAAATAAATTGGTAATGTATTTACATAGGAGGACGAGTGGCCAAGTGTGTGAGGTGTCAGTGTGTTTGGCGCTCACTGTCCCCAGCTCAACACTTGGTCTTGGGCGTTTTATTTACGGGGCGAGAAATCGTCTGGTGACAAAGGAAATGGCCAGATGACTGGACCCGGACAAGTTGTAAAAAATCTACAAAATTACAACAGGGTTGTACAATAATAACATATGGTTAATGTTAAATTGATCAACCTGTATATCTGTATATTTTTTCGATTTTGATGGGAAAAGGTTGGCTTTTTTTAATTTTTGACTTCAATAAGTATCTTTTAGGTACAATTTTTCATCTATAGACACCAAGAAATCAGTTTAGCGATTTGAGATATTGTGGGTTAAGACAGAAAAATAATAAAAATACATTGCTGTAAAAACAATACTCTTTCAGCTCCATATCAAAGCTAAAATAAAAACACATGGCAAAAAACAATGTCTTTTTACCTCCACTACAAATTTAATTTAAAAAAATTGCTAATGTACTTATTTATTAGTCGTTTCATACAATTTGTTAACTTTAATTTATACTTCTTTTATAAATATAATTTCTGTTTTATTAGGAATTAAAAGTGCCCTTAATAAGTATAGCAGCTCCACAATTGGTAGTTGGTATAAGTGGCGAATCGGAAAAACGAGTCAGGAAATTATTTGAAACTGCTGTGAAATCCGCACCATGTGTATTGTTCATAGATGAAGTAGACTCAATTTCACCAAATCGACAGAACACTTCTAGAGATATGGAACGCAGAATTGTTGCTCAGTTATTATCGTCTCTAGATAGTAAGATAAAGGATAGTTATGAAACATTATTAAAGAGGACGTTATATTCCTGGTTTTTTAGTGTAAAAATTCGACTACACATACCCGTAATGTAACAAGGCGTAACATATTAAATAAAGTGGTGTAACGTCCTCTTAATAATAGAACATATTAACAATAGCTCTTATTTTTTGTAGATTTGAAGGATGACGACAAAGTTATTGTGATTGGGGCTACAAGTCGTCCTGATAGTTTAGATCCTGCTCTTAGGCGAGCTGGACGTTTTGATCGTGAAGTCTGTCTTGGGATACCCGATAGACAATGTCGTAGAGCAATGTTAGACCTTATGTGCAAAGACTTACGCATAGCTTCTTCGGTTACAACAGAAAAATTAAGTGAATTAACACCAGGTTTTGTTGGTGCTGACCTAAAATCGCTTACTAGAGAAGCGGCTACTGTTGCAGCAAATCGGTAAGATTGAACTAGAAATATCTATAATGCACATTGATTTGAAAACTGTATGAAAATAGAATTTGAAATCTGTTATAGAACTATTGAAGAAATAAAACAAAAATTAAATCTTGCATCTAATAATGGGGAAGCCGATGAAACTGAAATAATGCCAAAGAATAAAGTTCTCGACACTTTAAATTTATTACGTTCCACTCATATTATTCCAATCGAAGAATTGGGTTCAGTAGAAATTAATTTACAAGATTTTAAAGAGGCCTTGAAAAAAGTTGTTCCATCTTCAAAAAGAGAAGGATTTGTCACTGTGCCTAATATTACATGGGACGACATTGGTTCTTTAAAAAAAATACGACAAGAACTACACATGGCAATGCTTGTAAGACAAGTTTAAAACTATTATTTAAATAACTTAATAATTGTTATTTCGATTTTTATTTATGAATTCTATTAATATAATAGTTAAATAAACAAGTCATAACAAACTATTTATAATATTGTAAATATACTCTATGTATTGTTTTTTTCAAGGCAAAATGTTATAAGACAATGTTTTTATTATCGCCCAGACATTAGCAGTCACGTCTCGCTACTGATTCTTTTTATTATTTAAAATTTCATATTTTTATAACTAATAAAATTGTTTCTTTTCAGCGTTATTAAGTTTAAAAAAATGTATATATCCAACAAATATTTTGTAAATGGGATTGTATCTTTTATTTTATTAAAAATTTGACTATTAATGTAATATTATATGAAATTGTTTGCCAGGCCCCTGTAACGCACGCTAAAGAATTTACAGCACTTGGACTGGATGTTCCTACCGGCATATTGTTATGTGGTCCGCCTGGATGTGGTAAAACATTGTTGGCCAAAGCTGTAGCTAATGAAGCCGGCATTAACTTTATATCTATCAAAGGACCTGAATTACTCAATATGGTAAACAAAAATATAGATTTTATTTTATTGTTAGTCAGAAGTATCAAAATGCAATACTTCTTATTTTGAAACTTAAATGCAACATCATTCTTGCAAAACATTTTTTCAGTATATAGGAGAAAGTGAACGAGGAGTTCGACAGTGTTTCCAAAGAGCTCGCAATTCGCAACCCTGTGTCATATTTTTTGACGAAATTGATGCTCTGTGCCCAAAAAGAAGTGATACGGATGTATGCATTTGGTTGAATGTTTTTTTATTTATATATTATAAAAAGAAGTAATTTTTGTTTAAAAATTCAGGCATCTGGTCGTTCAGGTCAACGAGTTGTCAATCAGTTACTGACAGAAATGGATGGTTTTGAAGGCGGTCGTAGTGGTGGAGTATTTGTTATGGGTGCAACAAATCGCCCTGATATGATTGATCCCGCTGTACTTCGCCCTGGTCGCTTAGACAAAGTTCTTTATGTTGGTTTACCAGACGACGAAGGACGTGTAGACATATTAAGAGCATTGACTAAAGTATTAACATTTTTTTTTCATGTAAATAATTAGACAACTTTAAAATGATAACTAAAATTTTTTTTTTTTTAGAACGGAAAGAAACCAGTTTTGGCAGAAGACGTAGATTTGGATGCAATTGGAAAAAATGGAAATTGTATTAATTTTACGGGAGCTGACTTAGCCGCTCTAGTACGCGAGGCAGGCATTTTATGTCTTCAGGAGTATATTAACTCTGTTGATGAAAATAAAAAACTAGCAATTCAAACTAAACACTTTGATGAAGCATTGTTAAAAATCAGACCATCAGTAGCATTGGAGGTATTGTATTATTTTAATAAAAATGAGTTAGTGATTTTTAATAAACTTTAAATATATATATATATTTATTTATTCAGCCTTTGCCATTCAAACCACTGGTTTTTTTAAAAATATTATTTATGTACATTGTTGCCCTTGTACAAAATGTATATTAATATAACAATTCACTTTATGGAAATAATACATTTTACTCTTGATCGAATTTTACAATATTATGTAATTACAATTAACAACATGAAACTGTATACAGCCAGTTGTCACGACACATGACATAATATTATACTGTATACAGATTTTATAAGATATATCAATTTAATTTCTGAACTAGTTACGAAAATTCATAAATAATTTTTTATAAATTACTTTTTACATGAATAATTTAAACTATTATTGGCAAATCTCATGTAATATAATTTAATAAGTATTATTGTAACATTTTTATGTGGGAAAATAAAATGTCAGTTGTTAAAAACCAATAAAACTACTAAATTATAGTACATTTTTCTTCAAATATGTTTGTATTCTACTTATATAAATATAAATAAAAAGTGAACTAAATAAATTTTTTTATATTTTCTAGGATCGTGCTCGTTATGAGTTGTTGAAAATGAAATACGCATCCCCGAGAGGTTGAAGACACTAGATTTAAAATATGTGTAATCAGCAAACACATACTTGGTATATCTCTACAAGACTACTATAAATGTATTATATTTGTAAATATAGTAAATAATAAGATGTATATATTGTAAATATGTATACCTATAATATAGTATACTATATACAGTATATTATATTATAATGTAACTTTATTGTATTTACTCATTGTAACATAATGATTATTCGCAAGTAATTGATAAAAAATACACAAACTGACTTTTCAATTTTGCTTATTGTAATGAGTATGTGATGACCGACCAATAAACTAAATTTTTTTTCATATATAATAATTGGACACCTTTTATAGCAATTGATTTGAGTACAACAAGCATCACCCACCAAATTGAATTTTATTATTATGGAGTTGTGTGGATATAATTGTGTTTGTAAATTATACAATGTATAAGTGTTCAGCTATAGTATTTATTTTACTTTTATTTCAGCCGTTTCTTATAAGTACCAAACAATATGTAAATGACAATAGTATAATAAATGCAAAGTAGTGTTACGACAAAGGAGTCGACGGGAAATAACGGTTGTTCAAACTTTTAAAGTTTGAGAGTTTTTCTCATTTTAAGTTTTAAAGTTCAACAACTGACTTGACATTTTCACCGAGGCCACAGTTGTGTTATTATTTTCATCTTCGGAATAAAGTATCATTCTCAGCACAGATGTTTCACGACACCTGTGTGGTCTCGAAATGGTCGTATATTAATTAAAATATATATTTTGTCTTTTATTAAGGGGGAGTTGCGGTTTTGCGAACGAAACCGAATATTTTATCCTATGCTATCGCAGCTATGTTGATTTATATTGTTTCCCTTAACACCTTTTCACGTCCCTCAAAGAAGTGCCCGTCTCTGGGGGAAATGCAAATTCCCATCTTTTTCGCACCAGATGTTACCTATGGACCGTCAACGATGCAAAGTGAAGCTTTACACACATTTATATACTTGTACACACTATTGTCGACTTACAAATTTTGGTGATCTTGTTATTGTAAGCAAATCGGACGAAGCACGAGTGAGTTGTAGATATTAGAATTTAGATACATTAGATAAGATAATAAAATATTTACCGTTAAACGTTTAAATTTTGACGATAACTAATGTCTAAATATTATAGTGTTGATAGGAATTGTGTATAGTTAGGTGGGTACCTAATTTTTCTTAAAACTTCGTAATGGCGTTTTATAATTAAACATTATAGCCCTAAATCCTACTAAATTTTCAAAAAGTGCGAAATTATAATTAAAAAGTTGAGTCGTTAAAAAAGCACTGTCAAGTTGTATTTTTGTTTTTTTAATTGAAATAATTAATATTGTTGTAGGATATATGAGACTCTCAAGTCTTGATCAGCTTACATTAATACCCTGTTCTTTACACAAACCTACAGTTACAACATTTAAAAAAACCACATATGTGCTAGAAATAATTTAAACTAAGTACCATTTCATACCTAATTATTTAAATGAAGAATTTTGGTAGATTTTTAACTAGAAAGAGAATAATATACGTTAAATCGTTCAATACGTTTAATTAAACTATATGTGTTTACATTTAAATCTATTTATCCTAACTAACAGGCGTATGTATATCATATTGTAATACAATATCTTATGGGCCTTACGCCCTTACCTGTGCCTTGAGGAAATTACCTGGGTGACATAAAGGCAAAGCCATACGATATTACCCACCTATTAGGTATTGAAATCCCTGCTAACCCGTCACTGATTTGTCGCTACTCATATAAATCTTTACCCGGGTTTGTCTGTTAAACAAAAAAAAAAAATAAAATAATTCAGCAATATTCCTATAATATTGTTGCAAGGGTATATAGTACCTACTCAATAATAATGGGGCTCCGGGATTTTATTTGTATACAGGGCGCGGGCGGCATGACGGTATAACACGGTCTAAAAGGGCTTTTCGGAACAGCCGGTCAAGATTTATGTGTCCGGAAGATTTTCGGTTCGAAGAAAATGCTCGGTAGTATATGAAATCGAATTATCCTATACATAGCTCTTATATAGATTAGCGTTTGTGTGTGTGTGTGTGTGTGTGTGTGTGTGTGTGTGTGTGTGTGTGTGTGTGTGTGTGTGTGTGGTGTGTGTGTGTGTGTGTGTGTGTGTGTGTGTGTGTGTGTGTGTGTGTGTGTGTGTGTGTGTGTGTGTGTGTGTGTGTGTGTGTGTGTGTGTGTGTGTGTGTGGTGTGTGTGTGTGTGTGTGTGTGTGTGTGTGTGTGTGTGTGTGTGGTGTGTGTGTGTGTGTGAATGTTGACCCTTTTTCCTGTTTCCTTTCGGTCCATTTGTTTTTCATACAACAGTGGTGGACTTTCGGGGGTATGTTGCTGGCGGAGGGGGGGGCAGAAGGGCGCAGAACGTTTTAAAAATCGCCACAGCAGAACTGACGTTGTCGCTTCCCGGTGGCTTTTAAAATTTTTCATTACCAAGTTTCCGGTCTATGTGTGCGACTTGTTTGTCCGCAACCACCTACCTCCGGTCTTCCCCGATGATTTACGCTGTACGGATGTGTCTATTTCTATTTCCTACCACTATATTATTATTATTATTAAATTGTTATATTCTATTGCGTGCGTGTACAGAAGTCGGATAGGAAAACGGAAAATAACAGAATTGTGTATTTTCTATAATAATATTATTATGATGATCGTTGTGTAGAGTAGTTTTGCGACAATAAAATGCATGATACTATTATATTTTATACCCGGTAAGTAAAATATAGAATTATGAATTATGATCTGAACGCTAGTGGAATCACACGTTGTTCTAATAATTTTAATTAGTTTACCTAATTTAGGTTTGAAGTATAGCCTGTATACGGTGGTGACGACGACACTTAAAAATAGTTTAAACACTGAGCCGTTAAACACTTTTACGATTTTGACAAATGTTTTATTTATCATAATTTCATTATTTACTTAGTTAGTAGTTACATGATTATATTCAAGAAATGACCAGACGGGAGCCTTTGTTAAGTAGACATCGGCGACAGTGAACCTATAGTTTATTTAGCAACCTGATTTGGTTTTCTATAGAACGTCGGTGATCAGCAAGTATAAATAATTACTTCATAAACAGTACACATAGGGTCGTTGAAAAATCTGTTTCATGTCTATGTTTTTGCAAACACTTTCTCCGATCGATGACATTTTTTTTTACTAATAAATTGGTTCGTGAATTCATTTGCGGTATTTCGGCCGTAATGATTTATTTAAAATGCAACGTTGAGAGGACACAAGCCAATTTATTAATTAAATATTGCAAAATTCGTTGGTTTCTTCGGCCGCAAAATACATATTTCCGAAATAATATTATTGTATAAGAGATCAGAAAATGGCTTGTATAAGTTGAAACTAAATAATTTCAATCTCATCCGGGAATTATTAATAAATAACTATTTTTAATCCTTTCGATTATAATAAAAAATGCAGTAGCCTTTGAGTGAAATTAATTTAATAATCAGATTCTGCTTGATACTGTGATTTCATTATACAATTAATATTATTCGTCATTGAGTTTTTTTTAGAAATTACCATTTTATTAAAATGTATATACTTACAGACTGATCAAAATTTATAATTTATAAAAAAAAAACACTAAAAACGCACATGGCACATTAATGTATTCATATTTAAAATTATTATCATGTCAAGTAACGATTTCTCAATAATTTGAATGTCAATGAATTACCTATGATACCTATACGTTGTAAAAAATATATATATATATTTATATCATAGTATTTCAAGCTTTCATTTTAAACATTTGAATATTATAAAAAAAACTATACTTTTTAGTATAGTTTCTATTATAATTTACCTAATCCATAATAATAATATTATTCTCAAGATAGAAAATTACGGACTACGGCATGACAGTCTCGCTGTAATCACTTGAGTAGGTAAAGGTAAATAATTATTAGCTGTTGTGTCAAAAATAAAAAAAACAATAACGGTTGTTAATTGTGTATGTATAATAAAAAATTATACATCATAAATGTATATGGCGTACAGGCAATAAAAATTGGCAAACAAATGTATTATTAGGAGTGCAAAAATTTATGTTGGAGGTGCTGGGATTTGAACCCAGGACTTTCAGCATGCGAAGCAGACACTCTACCACTGAGTTACACCCCCAGATAATTATAAAATGGCTAAATTGAGTGGACTTATGTCTACCTATTACTAAACAATATATATTTTAGATTCTATGGCCTATGCAAACATTACACTAAACACATAACCTATAAGTAATTATATTATCACGCATAGGTATCTAAACTGTTTTTAGGTACTTGTGGTAGGTATATATTTAAGTTCTAAAAGTCTGATAAAAATTCATACAATAATAATATAGTTGTGGCAATTAAAGCTTAATAGATATTAAGCGTAGTTCAATACTTCTCAATTATTGTACTTATATAGGTAAATAATGTTTATTACTATTTTGTTTTTAATAAAATATATGAATTGTGTACATTGACACTGACGTAAAACGTTAAAATGTGTTTGTGTATTAAATAGGCTACCTATTGTTTTTTAATATGGTAATTCTTAAGTTCTTAAATATTGGATAATTATAGTAACCATAACTATACTTAACTGAAACTTAACTTAAATACACACAAATCGAGCATCAATCACATCTGGGGGTGTAACTCAGTGGTAGAGTGTCTGCTTCGCATGCTGAAAGTCCTGGGTTCAAATCCCAGCACCTCCAAACAAATTTTTGCATTTTTTATCAAAGATATTTTAATCTGTTTCTTTCATTTAAATGAATAATTGATATATTTAACACCTATTGGTTTTTTGTTTTAAATATTTTCCGATTTGTGATACTTTTTAACACATGATTTTAGGTTTTAATACATATTATAGCGCTTAGCTATAACACAACATTTAAATATGGCAAGTATGTGTATTAAATTATGTGCAGGTATAACAAACATAATTTAAATACGTATAATATGAGTACAGTTAAGAACTCTCTTAAAAAATTAAAATATGTGTATATCTTATTTATTAATAAATAAATAAGATCGAGACCAAATAAAAATTTCAAGTTCTGACATTTAAAAAAAAAAAGTCAAGCCAAATCGAATATTTTGTGATGTCCTACACACTCTTATATTTTATATAATTAGAAGACTAAGTTAGGACGCTATCAAACTATTGTCTGAAATTTAATCTAAAGTTCTTGCGAAGCTTTTTTTTTACAAGTAATTAAACTTGAAAAGGTTTTAAATATGAATCGCTTCATGCAAAAAGGACCTTAACTTTAAACTTTTGGAAAAATGAAAAAAACGTTTAGTATGTTTCAAATAGCATAATAACATATAAGGGCTTTATTAAAGTTAATAGATATTTAACAGTAAAATTACATTCTGTAAAACAATATTATTATTTTCAAATGCAGTCCAGATTATTAGAATTTAAGTATAGTGGATTTAGACCCTGTTTACAAAAATTATGTAATTTTCTTAGTAACTTCTGGTAATGGGACTAAATTTTTTTTTAACATGAATCGATGCGTCTAAGTTAAGTGATAACGAATCTTTAATAATCACGTTTTTGATCAAATGCCCTTTTTGCTTGCAGCGATTCATATTAAATAATAATTATTACCTATTATTTATTTATTATTATATTGTGTTTGCAATTAACATACATTTTAATATAATTTTCTTTCGCCGCCAAGCCACCATTTCAACCGAAGTCGTCTTTTATTCAGGTTTTGCGAGGTAAAGCTAAACATGTTCCGTCGACGCCAAATGATTTCCAAAGTAAAAAACCATTCACCTTCACCGCGGTTGTTATAAAAATCGTACGCGGTTCAATCGACACTGGTGGGTACCGTGGTGTGCGTTAAACAACAGCGCTTACGTTTTAATAATATTACATTGTGCGGGGAGTCTGCTGGCATATAATTTACGGGCGAGGGTAGCCGAGGTTATATTATTTTATAAGCGAACAGCCCTCGTTTTTAATTAGAAGCCTGATTTATCGGGTTTGTTCACAGACTCGTGTAAATGGCGATACCTAATGAACCACTTGGACACGTCTCCCGGTCGCTTTCGTCCTCCTCTGCCGAGCCGACATTCTTATGGTAATCACACCGCGCCCACCCGTCCTCCACCACATCGTTGTTGTTCTTCTGTTCAATTAATTTAGACCGCGGCGAATGAAAAATCAACTTGTCCGCCAATGGCAACCGGAAAACTGTGCTAAAACGTGATGTTAAAAAAACCACCTATTACCTGAGTGTGTATTTATGTATGCGCGATAGCCGGATGTTCACCGACGACTGCCCGAATACTGGTCACGATTTGCGTTGAACGGCAACCGTGGTCGGACGGCCAAATTGAATGGATACTGTGTTGGTGGCAGTTCTCACACGACGGCGCTACACAATATATTATATATCTTTATGCTACACGTAGGTTTGTGTATTTTGTATCTCTAAAATATACCGCGAGCGCGGGCTTAAACTATCCTTAACACCACCTTTAAGAGGGCGTCGCACCGCCCATTTTTTAAGGAAAAAGTATAGGCAATTTTTTTACAAAATCTTAATTTAAAGGTTAAACTGTGATGTATAATAGTTATTGGTTCAATAACTAGGACTCTATTTTGGACTATCACGGCATCCTTGAAAGCGATTTAAAAATGTTTTTTCATCTCAACTTGTTTAAGCAAACTGAAAATAACTCGCTTGATTTTGGATTTAGAGTAAAAGCACTCATTATAAAATTAAAAGAGAATAATATTTTGGACGGCAAGATGGTGCGTTTTTTTCATTATTCTAAGTATAACGCTCAATACATAGTTTAGAAATAACGACTATTTTAACATTTTTAAATGACTGTAACTTTTCAAAAAATTAATTTTTTTTAAAAAACGCACCGTCTTGCCCTCCGGAATATTGTTTTCTTTACATTTTATAACGGTTGCTTTTACTTTAAAACCAAAATTAAGCGAGTTATTTTCAGTCTGCTTAAACATGTTTTTACCACTGAAAATCACCGGTGCGACGCCCTCTTAATATTCTCCCCGATGAATTTGGCACAGTAAAATCGTTTCAACGCTAGCGTGAAAGTCTGGAATTTAGACTTTGGTACTGGCCCGGACAAGCGTTGTGTAATAAATTATAAATATTATCGATGTGCTTTACTTTCATAAGCGGATCATAAAATCGAATGGTTCATCGTCGCAGTTTGAAAAATGCAACACCACAATTTCTTTTTCGTCAATTCGCACACTGCAAAATCGATTTGATGCACAAGTGTAGTACACGGTATATACACGATTACCCACCCATCCTCCCTCCACCCTCTGCGATCCAGGTTAATGCCGTCATCGTTATCAACACCATACGAACACGAGCTATTGCTTCTTTGTTACTCTTGCCCGCACGTTTGTGGACAAAGAGCAAAATGCGAAAATGTTGCCTGCATTGTGTTCCACGAAAAAAAAAAGAAAATAACAGAACAGAGATGAAAAGCCACATATTATGACCACAAACCTTTGTCAAACGAACCTACGTCTAAGCGATTTGCAAAGGATGTACCGACACTACATTCAATTTGTACTTATGACGAACAAAACTTTAATGTTTGACCAAATGATAGAATTTTTCACAATGTTGTTCCAGAGAATCTGTTTAGTGGTGATAAAATATAAAAGTAAACCTAATATATATGTACAATTTGTGTAAGAACTGATCTGATCAGAATTACTACTATTTTTTTTTAAGAAACTTTAACCTAAGATTATGCTTTTTAGTTGATTTGAAAAACTATATTTATCACTTCGTTAGCGAAAATCGAAGTATATAATAGGTATGTGCAATTCTCCACCAAACAATTCCATATAAAAGAAATGGGTCAGCTAAGTCCTTTTCCTTAATAAAACTCTAACTCTAACTATACAACTTTTTCATACTTATTTTTTTAATTTACAAGATGTACTTACTCGGTAGGCGGTACTGTCAATTAAAAACGATTTTAAGCAACAGAGCTATAATAAGAAATTTAATTTTATATAGACCGGAACGATTTGTTGATTGTTAATTTTTTTTTTAAACAATAGTTTTTAGGTGCATGATTTTTTGCACTCAAAATTCTTTCTGCGCGTAAAACAAGTATAGGTACATGTGTTAGTTATCGTTCGTTCAAAATGAATGCTTCGTCGGTTGCCATTCCAGTAAAAATATTACTATTGCTTGACCACGTTCGGCCAAAGTAGTTAATAACATTTAAGTAGAAAAAATCTTATCCGTCATTTCTTATTACCTATATAATAATATGTCGCGATCGGCATGTACTAATTGCTGATGGCAAAACTCTGATAACTATGATATTTTACAATTTTGTACTTCTTGTCTTACATAACGGCTATTAAAAAAAAAAAAAATCGCACATTGTTACACGTTTTCAATTACAGTTATATATTATAGCTGCCATGGACTTGATATGTCTTATCTGATCGATTTGCCATATTTTTTCTTCGCAGCCTACCGACGACATCAGCTGCAACCTGACTGAACATCTCTCATTGCGGCGTCATTCATTCATGTGTTCTACGTTAAATCGTTTGATTTGAATTTGCAATTTAAGACATTGCCACGGTTGACTGTGCATATTATACGATTATACGAGTAATTTACATACACACAATTAGTATGTGTCTTGCCTTCCGCTCAAAATACCCACATACGTGACAAAAGTGTAGGTAATAACGTTATCAAATTTACAAGGTTAATGAACATGTATTCCATTTTCATGCAATTTTAGTAACGCTAGTAGGTGGTATTCAATCTCTGCCAACATACACCCAGTAAGTGTATCTATTGTATATTTTTCCTCGGCCGTTCGGTTTCAATTTGCAATTCATTGTGTCCCAAAGTTGTACGATATTACTTCCAGTCTACGGGCGGTAATTAATCGTGTAATAAACCGCTAATGTGGCGCTCCATCGTTTTACAAAACTTATAAAACGTTTTAATTTTAACGGAATTAAATATATATTGAGACATTAACGTAACGTTGTTTACGCCGAGTGTTAAATGACGCAGAAAGTAATAAAATAAAAACAAACCGTATAACGTTTTAAGTGCAGAAAATTTTACACCGGCGAATTGTCGAGGTAATATAGCGACATTGTAGTCACTCTATTATACTATATAAATATAGTTATATATTTAACCCATTGTTGAAGACATACTGTCCTCTTTTAACGACCATTTGGTTTTTAATACATTTACTTTAATAAAAGCCTATCGTTAAATGTCACCCGGCAACTTTGTTGGTATCTAATGGCCGCGTGCGCTAACGTCGCAAATTTTATTTATTATAAATGATAAAAAAAGGTCTTGAAAGGTGTTTTATACATGTTTAGTATTATAAAATATCGAAATAGGTAAATGATCGTTATTAACTCGTGTGAAGAGCCTTGTAAAAAATACTGTCGTTGGTTAAAATAAAAAAACTTAAATATAGCATAATATACACGTACAGTTTTCGCCAATAGTTACTCTCTGTAAATCCATCAATCTTCGCCACTATACAGAATTTCAATATCTTGTTTATGTACTTATTGACAATTTCTCTACAATTGTCCGCTTTACATAACTTACAACAGTGCGCTAAGCCTTTATCTGTTCGAAATCACTATTTTTAGAAAGATGTAATAAAATATTAGAAATCAGACCTTCAAACCTATTTAAGTAAAGCTTCATATTTTATAAGTTGTATAGTTGCATTCCTCGAGTGCTACATTACATTATATTGCCGCCCCTAAACATTTTTTTTTAATTTAGACGCAATTGTAAAATAATTTCACAATAATAATTTGACAATTAATAAATATTTACATAATTATTATTTATTAGTTTCTAATAGCAATAAGACGTTGGTAAACGTCTGTCGCCTACAGGCTACATTCTACATTGCTAATTGATTTTTTTATTTATTTATATTAATAGATTATACCTACTATATAGAATAATTATGTTATACATTTATGTATAATCATAATTAAATGAATTTTGAAGTGGACCACTCAGACTGTTCACTCACCAACCGGTGAAATTGTGAGCGATCATCGTAATTGAATGATTATTATCACAACGTGGCAAACCATCAGGCAGTCCACGCTCAAGCGAATGAACTAGTCTCATCACCGCGGCTGACGACCACTCCAGATTTGCACCTGGAGGGGACGGTGCATACTACAGAAATGATCCTGTGAAGTATGATCTTGATCATCCGGTTGGTTTCGACCCGTATTTATGATAGTACTGGACGTTTAGGGCCTGCACGGATCACACTGCACGTGTGATCCAAACAGGAAACCATTCTTTTAGGCTCTTGTACCTAGCTTAAACGTTTTCGGCAATTTTTCCAGACAAGACTTAATACCAAATTGGAAATCGGTCATAAATATCTAATCCGTGCAATGTATTTTCGGGTATTCAACGATGTAGTCAAGTTTTTTAACGCCATTGCTTATCGGATCACTGGTTCGGCCTGTGCGATGGACAAAAAATGTACTATTATATTAACTAAAATGGCTTAATAGACAAAATTATTAAAATTAAAAATAATACCATGAAGCTTATACAAATTAACCGGTACATTAATTGATATGGTCGAAATTTATTAAAATCACTTTTTTCTTAAATATTGCCTATACAAAACTCCTTAAAAATGGTCGATATCCAGGGGCCATAAATGTGTTCTTCGAGTTAAACAAGCATCGCGAAAGAATGTGTGCATATGTAATCCATACACGTATGATATTATAATCGTTATCGAGGTGTGCATTATTCAGATAATTTTTTATCTAAATAATTATTTGAATAATTTTTTTTATTCAAATGACCGTCGAATATTTTGTTTTATTCGAATAAATAATATTAGATTGAATAATATTAGAAAATTGAAAGATACGTCAGTTTTTGTTGGATAAAGATGACCTTAAAACAAACACAGTGAACAACGTTGTAAGACTCGAGTTCCGTGCTTGCCAAAATAAAAGCAGAAGTGTCAAAGAAATAAACTCTTGTTGACCGCAAATCTATCATATAAATAGACAGATACGCATTGTAGAAGATCAGTCTGTTAGCCAGACCAAAGATTAACCGTTTTTCATTAAATTCTACAAACGTCCCGACCCTTATCGCAGTGATTGCGTGTGACTGGAACCTATTCGTTTGTGATTGAAAACTATCGTCCATCGCCAGGACACTCCAAGTGGATTGAAAATCGGAGTAAAAAAAAAACAACACAAAACAACTACACTGGAGTTTGTCACCAAATTAATATCGCCTTCCATTCGGTTAGTTGGCACCGTTTTCGATTGAAATGTCGAAATTCTAGTACACGCAGAAGCGGTACATCCTGCACGCTTGTGATTAAAGTTATTAAAAAGAAACAAAGTTGAAAATACTATTGAACACACGAATGTTTGTACTTCGGATACACTTTATTATCACAGTGTATGTATACGGTGTCGCGGGTTAGAGATCAATAACTACAGCATAGGTACTCTTATATTATGTAATTGTGTCCTCGGGTATCGGAAGGGTGGAAAGTTATTACTCGGTTGTATTTCGCCATTTGAATGCGAAAGTCCATCATAAAAATGTGTTATTTTTACCCTTCGAAGAGATCATATGCGGCAAAAATATGGACTTTGGTGGACACGCATACACAGGGCCCTACAATAACATATTGTCCAACGATTAAGGTCGCTTTTAGAGTGGGTTTTACGAGGCCAAAAATTGTCCGCAATCGCCCCTTATTATACTCTTTCCCCTGTCCCGTGTTTATTTGAGCCCGTAAAAAGGCGAAACGCTCGACCATTTTTACACACAATAAGGCGTCCCCGAATTTATTATATATATATATATATATATATACTACGAAAAGCTGCCTTTTTTTTATTATGATCTTTTATTTATATATCTATACTACCTAATATGCCGTTCTCTTTCGCCTTGTGCATTATATATACACACCGGAATGATATTACTTGGTAAGTTTCTCCTAATATACCATATTTATCTTCGTATTTAAATAAAAAACAAAAATAAATACAATTTCAAAAAAAGCTGTGCCCGCTTTTTTAATAACAAAAAGCTTTTTCAATCACTTTAATGTTCAGGGTATGCAGTGTGCTTGCATTTTATAATGTTTTTCTATTTTAAATCGCTGTACGTTATTGTATATTTAATTTTTTTTACAGAAGGGTCAATCGTAAATCATACAAATGTATTCGCTGTATTGAAAACATTATTTTGCACTTAATTTCTTCGGCGACACAACGAACGTCCTTCGTACGGACGTCTTAGGCTTATCACTACAGTCCCTTGTTCGCCCAGTCAATATGAACCATGCAACTATCATCTGATGAGCAACAAGAATAATTAATCTAAAAATTACAAATCTCTATACTAAAATATTAAAGTGGTGATAGTTTTATCATAAAAAAATACTCCTTGAATATTCAACCGAAATGTAAACATCACCTAGCCAACAAATAAAAAAAAGAAATAACAATTGGGATGGGCTAATTTGAGTAAGGCTATAATAAACAAGTTTTTTCTGGTATACGATAATATATCAATACTGTAATTACTAATTTAAATCTCTTCAAAAGTAAATTTTGTTTATCATTCTTTTTTTTCGGGGTCGTTGAAAACATTATATTGTACAAAATGGCAGATATTGATATATCACTTTTTGTCAATTCGCATCTCTAGAATAAGACTGCCACAACTCAAAATTGGTAGTTTTGAGAAAAAGTCATTTGAAGTTTGTAATTAAGATATTTTACAGAGTTTTTTAGCTATGCATTTGAAACTAAAAACTTAAATACTTACAAACATGTTTTACAATATGACTTTTTCAATTATTATGAAATATTAACTTAAACCCAAAAAGTGAGACTTATGGCCTTTTATGAGTGAATGCAAGATTGCCATATTTTGAGATATGGCTGTATTGCATACACAAATTGATTTTAAGATAACCATAAACAAAAATATAGCAGTATTGAATTTATGCTATATACATTTTGTGTGCCGTAAGTCGATTTATGGCAGTGTTGCAAATTTAAATTACAGAACCAGAAAATTATTTTTTATACAGCGCAAGAACGCCACAAATCGAAATGAGGCAGTCTTGAATTTTTACTTCAGTAATTAAATGGAAATTTTTTTAAAATTTATAGGTACTGTCATAAAGTCAATATGGCTCCATTGCTTTGAAAATTAGCTAAAAATTGTATAATTCTATACTGACACATGTTTCTAGAGGAAAAATGAAAAATGTTATTGAATGTGGCGTTCTTCCATTAAATAGAGCTGATTTTTTGCCACCCGAAAGTGGTCATATATTTATAAAGTGGTTTATAAATTTTGAGTTGTAGCAGTATTGTTCTAGAGGTGCGAATTGTGGTTTCATTACACTAACAAGTCTTAAAATATAGTAGAAGTTAAATTAAAATATTAATAATTTAATTTATTTATTGTAAAATCTAAAAAGCATTATAATAAAGTGTATCATATTTGTTTTCATTCGACTCAAGACAATAATAATAATATAATAATAACGGCATTGTAATAAAACACCAACCCTATCTCCATCCGGGCAAAATCTCACCTTGTATTGTAGGCACATCTGTATCGTTCCTATATATATATACATATAAAGACGTCTCGGTATTTTGCAAAACTAGTTTGCATATTTCAGTGTTTATTATTTTATTTGTACCGTAAAAGCGGCCCGGGCTACCGCGAGTTTAGATTTATTGTTTACGGCTACTGAAATATGTACGCATTTTTAACTGTGCTATTTAGTTTTACAGATGTCGTCGCAATACAATATAATAATAATAAAAAAAGAAGTAATAACCCTGGGACAATGGGATAGCCAAGTTTTAGTGATATATTTGAAGCTTCCACGTGATATAATATAGGTGCTGGTACACGGGCAGCTGTAGTGTCTTTTTTTTTTTTTTACAAAAGCAGTAGGAGAGTGGAGGAAGTGTAATGTTGACATAAACATATAATTCACGACTTCGCACAACGCGTTATTGTTATCATATGTTAACCTCTCCTTTTGCAAATGTGTGTGTAAGGTGGAAAAAAAAATGCATGCGAAGAAAAAAAATATTAGAAAATATAGTCGGGACACTTCGCTTAGATTAGATCCGAACACACGTTTCCGTGAATTTATTATTCCATTGTGTCAAAAATCTTCAAAAGCCGCAAACACTTAGAGGGCACATAATATAGTGTACACGGAGATGTTTCCTCACTCGTGTGCACGCTATTCGATATGCGTGCATATGGAATGTAAAACAAAACAAATAAATCATTTCCCAGACGATTGTTGACCGATGAAGTAGCACAACTAAAATATCGTGGTCTTTGGTAATTTTTCTTTTATTCGGTTAACGAAATAATGTATTCAAAACAAATTTCGAAACCGTTGAATATACCTAACCCCGAGTAGACCATACTTAAGTATGTTCTACTTAGAGTTATATTATATTTTTTAACTAGGTGGGTATGTAATACAAATTTTAATGATATTATATATTTAAAAATTAATTTTATATTTTGCTGTTGAAGTATTCAAATTAGTGTGAAAAAAATGGTTTTTTTTTTTATAACTTAAATTATTACAAATCAGTATCAACGCTTTAGAATTGTATTACGTCCAAATTCAGTAATGGATTTTGTTCATTGAGAAAAAAATCCTATCCGATTAAACAAGCTTCAGAGGGAAATTGTCGACGTTTCTCTTCGTTTTTTTATTGCAAAAAAAAAAAGAGACCATTATATGCCTCAGTTCATTCGAGCATAAAACATTCAAAAAGCCTTAAATATCAACCCCTCCCTTATTTAATTTTGCAATCGTTTGAAATGTGTTCGACGGCACAAGAAAAAAAAACTGTCAACTTTTAATTCGGTATCGGTGTTTTTTAATCTTAACGACCTTTTAATACAAACTCGGACAAAAGTTTTCTTAAAATGGAATTTGTGAATAATGCATTTTGAAAAAAAAAATCATCACACTAAACGGGCTAATAAGCGTCGTTTGATTGAATACGCATTTACGTCGCCGCCGTACTTTGAAAAGAAAACATATTCAATACTTAACAAAAAGTTGTAAAATCAGTATTTTTTAGTTATAAAACTCATACATTTTTAATGGTTTTACTTTTTACTTTGGCATAAAATAAATAAAAA